GATACATTATGGACAGTTTATATTATTCGCCCAAACGTTTTACGTGATTGGTTTAATTCTGCCCGTGGCATAAAATTTTAAAAAGTTGACAAACCTTTGTTATTATTTTGTTACATACAAGTGCTAATAGATCAGTGGATCTCCACACAAGCATTTCCCGGCATTGCAACGACAGAAATTGAACCAATTATTTAATGATCAAGTTTTAACATTTTTCCCAAAACTTAGTCTTTTGTCAAGGAGCGGTCAAAAATTTTTAGATTTAAGAGCTTTACATTGTATTTAGAAACCATTCTTGACGCGTTCATCGTGTTTGATAATGAAAAATGATTTATTACCGAACATTTGATATTTGTGAATAGAAAGGAAAATAAAATATTAATTAACTCTTATTTATATTACACTTTCAAGTTGTTAATTTCGTTTTTTTTTCACTGCCGCTAAAACGCTTAGCTAGGCTCTACTTGAGAAAAATGTGTTAAGAGGGCCCTCTCTTTAAAAGTCTTGATTTTTCGAGAGTTCATTAGACGGCCGCAATTGGTTTGGAGTCCTTGCAGAACTTAAGTCCATCCCCTCTTGTTAAGAATTTTTTGACGTTGATCTGAAGAGTTTTTCTTAGAATTGCCATAGTTCTTTTCCAGTTGAAGGTGTGGTGGCCGAGCGGTTGACACCCCACACTTTGGGTCTGTAAAAATGTTTCAAGCCTTGCCTTTCGTTTTTTCTTAAACAATTAGCTTTGCTCCCTATCGACTCGTTTAGATCAAGCGCTTACCGTTGCCGCAAACTCGTCCCCAGGGCCCTCTCGTTTTTCCATATAGCGGCGGCAGGGAAAATGTCTTTTAGGTACATGGCTTCAGCGTGATTCAAGCATAATTCGTAACAAATGAATGACGCTTATCGTGTTTATAAGTCATCAGTAATTTTCTCGCTCTAATCCAACACTTGCCAAGTTTGTAAGTGAAACAACGTTGTGTCTATCCGTTTGCGCTGGGCCATTATTTCACGAAAAGCTTGAAACGACACCCGAAGAACGGAATTGTACGTGGAGACTAAAAAACTTGCGTGTTTCGTGTTGCTGCGCAAATAGTTGGTGGTTAGCCTGTGTGTCGTGGTGTAGGTGCAATGATTTTTAATCTTTTCTTAATGATCTCAACATCTCCAAACCTCTGAATCTAGTTGCCATGGTAACCTAGTGCTGTTTAAAATTAACACTACTAAACGAGGACTTCCTCCTCACCATGCACTCAGCATATTCATATAACGGGTCAGAGTTTATTTCTTTTCGTGAACTACCTCTCCAAAAAGCTACGTGCTCGCATGAGATTTGGCGTTTACGATAACAAATTTTGTGGGAAGATTTTAACTGGAGATAAAAGGTGCCATCTGCCGATCACCCTTATATTAACGATCTAATTGACTGACAACACTTCAAGGCGTTAAAAAAACTCGCTAGAAGAGGGAAGTTTTTATCAGTGATGAAACGCCCTCGTATTGATATGACAAAAATCTGAAGGATAAAATCTGTTACGTCTAGGCATTGATGAAATAGAATAGACAGATGGTACCAGATAGTCCAAGGTATATATTTCACAAGCGTGGGTTATTCATCATGTGGGTTATACACTGATCTTAGATTGCTGATAAAACATAAACAAAAGGAGCGAAATAATCTGTAGGGGCGAGATAATGGCTGCGAAAAGGTGCCTCCGATAAGCTATCCTGAAACGGACTCTTCCAAGAACAGCAGATGGTTCAGCAAAGTAGGTGCGACTGTCAAACCAATCTGTAAATTCCTTTAAAAAACAGCAAAAGGATATTCTGTTCTTTTTTCCACCCACAGTTTACTCAACTTGTCTTCCCCAGTGGGTGTAGGTAAGGTTCCCCTTGCCCCGCGATTTTAATGTTTTCTGAAACAAAATCCCGTAAGTCCGAACCAGCAAATTGGTGAAATAAGGCTGCTGATTACTACGTAAGGCTTTACTACCATATAATTATAATCACGATGTTGAAAATTTCAATGTTAGTAAGAAAACAACGTTATTTTTCGTTACGAAGTGCTTTATTTTAAGACTTTAAAATGAGGCGAAAAATTAATCGAGAAAGGGCAATCTAATGTTACGTTTCAGGAAGTCCTGCCTGCCTTTTAACGTTTTCAAGGTGACGCGTGTTTGAAACCTTTTTCCTGGGAATCAGAAAAACGTTCATATTCAAATGAAGTCCTCTCTTCCTTTAAGGCTAAACAGGAACATTTTCCAGTAAATTATATCGAGTTTTTGATCAGCAAGTGATTGTCCTAATAAACAAAAAACAAAAACAAAAAAACCTATGAACGGAAGGTTACGTTATCGGATTTTGCGTATTAGATCTACGTTAAATACTTTCAAGCACGCTGAAACGATAAAAGTTTATATCGTTTTAATTTGTAAGTTAATTGCTAAAAAGATGTACCGAAAAGCGGAATTTTCATACTCTGCCTTGTTTGGGATTGTCTAGTAGTTGACAACGCCTGAACTGGGTAATTTTCGAAGATCGCTATATTTTTGCCCATCTCATTTTTTTACTACTCTTGTCTCGTATTGTTTTGTTTCATAGTTAACTTAAATGGTGCGGTTTTTGCCACCAATTTCTTGGCCCACTATCTTCTGATTGATGAAATAAATTCTTACCGGACATTTGTGGGACATTTGAATGCTGGATGTTAAAATCAACAAAATAAGTCGAGACTTACATAACTTAGGACAACGGAGCAATTCGAGCGACTTAAAACAAATAAACAAAAAATAAGACGATGACACTAAAAACCAAAATGGTATTGCATCATCTGATGACTCAGTTTTCCTTCCAGCCGCACATCAGTATCACGGAGCACCTGGCCCTTATAGACCTTGTCACGGTTTTCGACGCCATCTTGACGAGTAGGCAAACGTGTGAGAAATTACAGTATTTGTATGAAAATCTATTGTCGAATAATTTCGGTAAAACGGCCGTTCTGAAAAAAAATTTAATTGTAAACTAAAGCTACAAAGCAAAGGATTGACCTAAAAAAATTTGGGGGCGTACCTGTGCTAAATTTCTCCAGAGGCTTGCTTTAGATTTTCCATATATTTGTCTGTAATTTTCCGGGGACTTTCTTACAGACAAATGTATAGGAAATTTAAAAAGTGGTTCTAGGTCTTCTGGTGCATGTAACGCCCTCAAGTTTTTTCAGTAGAGTCCTTAGGAATGAAGCTTTAGGTTACAAGTCATATTTTTTTCAGAACAGCCATTTTACGGAAATTATTCGAAATTAGATTCTCATACAAACACTGTAATTTCGCACGCGTTTGCCTACTCGTCAAGATGGCGTCGAAAACCGTGACAAGGTCTATTCTTACCAAGAGCCATAATGGCTCTTGTTCTTACGTATAAAGACTATTTGCGGAGACAGAAATTAAACGACTATGCCCTTTTTAATTAGGATCAATTAGTAACTAAACTCGTTTTATGGCTCAACAGTTAAAATTGAATGGCTTGGTTCCTTTTTCTTGTAGAAACATTACTCTGCGGGATTATTATAATTCTTAGCGTTAAGTGGAATAATGTTTATGTTTTTTTTTCAAGTTTTCATGAACTGGGTCTGAAACAAAGCATTGAGTATGATGCTTACTTTGTGCCTAAACATATATTCTTTAAACTTAACCTTGTGTTTTTAAAATGTGGACTTCTCTCATGAAGCGATTAGTATTTTAAAAAGCACGCCATTAAGCTATAAACAGTTTTGATAAGGTACTGTCTTGATGTATAAACACTCGCCTGTTTTCCTCTTTACTGTTAAAATTAAAAAGGTTTTAACACTTATAAGGTATACTTTTATTGCAAGCTCACGCATTAAGACTGCAAGATAAATGGTTCTATTTTTTTTGGTTAATCTGCAAATCTCCCGCTAGACAATTCTGTTAATTGTCAGTGGCTGTGAGAAGGGAAAACCAGAGATTAACATCTTTGTATAAAAGCTAATCCGAGATTTGTCCAAGATAAACAATAGCACTTTTTCTGCTGTTTTGCAGTTTGGCGACGCCATATACCCATATCGAATAACTTTAATGCCAAATTGATACCACCAGACAGACAAACTTTTTGAAAACAATCGTTTGTCCATGATTGCGTATTCCGTGCAGTTGTGATCTAGCTTTTACTCGAAAATATGAAAAACAGCTGGTCAGCAAGCGACATCATTTACTGGACGATTTCAAGGCGTAACGCTAATAAGAAACATAAGTAAAAAAGAAAATATCGAAATGGTAAAACTCGCCATTTGCTCGGTAACCAACTTGCTAGTTACAAAACGCTATAAACGTAGTGTCGAATTAATTGAAGATGTACGTCACCTTTACCATATTAATATTAACAGTGGTAACTTTTGGCCTTAATTGCTCCCTTATCAGCCGACAGAGCTTATTTTGTATTAATTGAAAACCTGTGTCAAGCATGTTATTCGCATGTTATGCTAAAAATGCACCGTCATTGAATTTCTTAGCGTTGAAAGAAGCGAGATGAAAAATTGATTCTGAATAAGTGTTTGAACCTCAAACTGAACAAACACGATTGTGCAACACTGTTGAAATTACCCAAAATATCGCTTTGTTACGTCGATATAGTACATTTTACATTATTGTTAGTTTATGTTTTGTCATTTTGATTTTGTTCTATCGTTGTCCCAGGTTTATCCGATTGAAAACTTAAGATTATCGATGTCATTAATCATTAACTTCAGTTTTGACAAGATTAAACGAAAAAGTCATAATTTGTGTGCCGTCACATTGACAAAGCGTCTTCATTGAGGTGGTAGAGTTTTTCTATGCAAATTAATAAGTGACCAATAGCGTCTTGCAGCAGTCAAGCACAAGCCTGTAAATTTAAATTTCAACATTGCTCCTGCTTTTAGGGTTTCACCAACTTGCTGGCGGCGGCAGAACCGGGGGCGGGAAAATCGCGAACGGTTTCAGAACTTAGTTACTGAAATGGGAAACGAAGGCTCAAAAAAGTCGGCTTCCAATTCTTCTTCTTCTTCTAGTTCAAAGAGAAACAAGAACAAACTTACGCCAGAGGACATACAGGAGCTGCGACTTTCGACCGAGTTCTCCGAAGACGAACTCCATAAGTGGCACAAAGCGTTCCGCGAGAAATGTCCGAACGGAAAAATGTCCCAGAAGAAATTCGCGGAAATGTATACGAATCACTACTCCACTGGCGACGCCACTATTTTCGCCGGGCACGTTTTTCGCACTTTTGACAAAAACAGAGACGGCACAATTGACTTTCACGAATTTATTCAGGGGCTTTCTATTATTTCTCGAGGTTCGCAAGAGCAGAAACTACGATGGGCCTTTGAGATGTACGATAGCGATGGAAGTGGCACTGTTTCGCGTGCCGAGATGTTAGAGATAGTGCGAGGGATTTTCCGACTCGCTGGTGACAGGATAAATCTCCCCAGAGATGAAAACACTCCAGAAAAGTTTACTCACAAGTTGATGGCTAAACTAGATCGGGACAATGATGGCACAATTACGCAGAATGAGTTTGTTCGTGGTGTTCAGTGTTATCCGTCCCTTATGCGGTTATTGGATCCAGCGGGCGCGAAGTAAACTAAACTAATAGTCTGCAGTCGTGTGTTTACATTCGCAATATATTATGCTACGTTTGAGTTTACGATGGAATATCTCCTAGGAAAAGATGAGCACTATTGACTCTAGAGCAGATCTCACAGTTTTTCGTGAGAAGCAATAACAAAAAGATGTGCTAAAGGAATAGACAGATTGAGCTTCCGTTTGTTCGCCTCACCCTTTTGATCTGTTGTATTGACTAGATATCGACCGCTTTTTCAAAGACGTTAACAGCTAGAAGAAAGGAGATGAGTTCCTCTTACTAATGGACTACCTTTGTAGCTGGTTAAAGTAGACGAATACATAAAATTTTCAGTTTAGATCCGGGAAAACCCTCGCCTTAAAGATCACTATATAATATTTCCTGACTGTTTCGATAGAGCGATAGAACAATTTCATTTACTCCGATAAATTTATTCGTCTAGGTTCATCTTGAGAAGGTGAGAAGCTGCTGGATTCCCCATTGGTGTTCAGTGTGTTTAATATTTTAGTTGTTATTACGATTTTCGCTCGATTGCCAAATCAGTTCTTCTAAATGGGGTCTAGAAGCTCCTATGCGCACTGCAAAATCCTTAAGCTAAACGGACTGAATCGAAAGGCGGAATTAGCTCGTTAACAATAGCTCACGATTACAAAAATCGGCGACCGGTTGATCAGAGCTTTTGAAATATTAAACAGCGGAATAACATTTAAATATCATGCGGTTGAGACAATTCACCTAAGCAAATGAAGAACACCTTTTTGAGGTCATCTTTTAAGAGATTTAAGGTTACAGAGAATAGGAACAATAAATTTAAGTATAAGAACCAAGTTTTCCCAAAGATTGCTGTAGAGCGTGTTTTTCTTTTAATAATTGGCATTGGAAAGTAGAAAATATGAGAACTTCCTTTTGCCTATGTAAATACTGAAGCTTTTGTTTTATTTATAACTTCACAGCTGTATCTCAGTGATGGTAATTTTTGGTTTTGAGGTTTTTTTCGAATTATCATGGATCGAGGAGAACGGTGAGGTGGTCTCAGTTACCATTAAAATTTTTTCACTAGAGTATGTTTATCGAAAAAGACGGCCCGTCAACAGCGGGCAGTTTTTCAAATGAAAATTTCCAGAATGTGTCAAAGCTGAAGAAATTCTTAGCCTCTCATAAATGAGAAAAATGTAGGCTTTGATAAGACGGTTTTCAAAACATGAATTGAAGTGAAAAAACCGTCGTGTTTATGATAACAACAAATAAGACTCCTCGTTTCAACTTCCTCTGAAGTTCTACCACATTTTATTGCGAGTCATCAATCTTTAGACTTAGGTAGTTTGTTGATAAATTGGCTTTTTCTAAAAAGGCATTGAACAAAATAACAGTATGCCAGTATGGTTTACTATTTGAAACTTTCAATGAGTTAGTTTTGAATTTTTTTTCTGTAAATTAAATTTGAAAATTTCTATTCCTCGCAACGTATTAAAAATTAAACCAGTTTCTTAGCAACTGCTTTATTTTCATTTTGTATACGTTGTTTGGCGCTTTAACCCGTAAAGAGAGACAAAATCAATGTTGAAATACATGAATATTTCATTTGTATAATAAATAGTTTTTGAATATAACTAATGAAAAATACATAACTCAGTAACGCTCTTGGAACCATTAGCGTAAAACTTTGCATAATTCTTTATTTCTAGGAATAAGAATATTTATTAATAAAGAAGTCTTTTCCTTCTTCTGATCGTGTTCTCACATTGTTTTGCTAAAGCATCGTAGTCATCCGAAAAAATGGGCTGTGGATAATTACTGACACTTTTAAAAGTGAGGCACAAACACTAACAAACGGAAATTTAAGGTCGATAGTACAAGAATCTGTCTCTGGAAAATTAGAGTAAGAGTGTTTTTATTCAATGGCAAACTGGCTTAATTCCAAACGTTCCTGAACTGGCGAAGTTTTATGTCAATCCGGCTTCACTGCATATAAATTAATTATTGTCATTTTTTCCTTTAGTATTTTCAAGTTGAATTATGTTTGGCCGGAACCAACGTATCACCGTCGTGTTCCACCTTATGGACTGAGAGTGTCGGTGGTTTGCCCTTATCTTTAAAAGTCGTGACTTTGTTTTAGTATCCTAACTGTACTCTTCTTTTGCTCCAGTCTCGCTGAGCAGCGAAAATCATGAAACAGATGAAATGGCGCTCAGCACCGATGACTGAGGGAAAAAAATCACTCAAGACAGTGAAAAAAGAAAAAAAAACCTGAACTAAACATGAGATCGGATTTTACCGCCTGCCATCAAAAACATCACACCAGTCCTTGTGTAAGCTTCGCGTTAAACTCACTTAGGAATATCACATGCACAGAAACGGCTTCCTGCTGTTTTTGGTAAGCCATTCGGATTAAAAGAGGTCTCGACAATGGTATGCCTTTGGAAAATGTAACCGCTTTCAAACCAGTGATGTTACCACATATGCGTCACCTGTTTTCCGCTGGAAAGTGTAACGCAGGCTCTGTGAATTACTCACGCACGCAAGATCGTATGGGTAGCTGTAAGGTTTTTCAGTGCCATACATAGAACAACATAAAACGGTACAAAATGTTTGCCTTTGTGATTTTGTGACAAAATAGTTGCTTTTATGGCAGAGTTTCAGTGGTGAATATATTTCTTTATGAAATTACCTGTGGCGTAGGCTTGTCGACAACGTTAATTGGAATTGCTGTATTTCTGAAACAATGGAAGGTTTATTTAAAGAGCATGACGAGCATCACCTTGTTCTTATTTTGTAGGTGATTACAGTATCCATATAGGAACTGGGATCACTATGTGCTTAAGTCCGTAAGTAATACAACGATAACTCAGTGAAGGCACAGTTCGTGAACAGAGTTTAATTATCTTCTAGTCTCATTACATTTGCCACACCGCTTTCCATACATTACCTATGCCAGGATTGAGGAAAATTGATTTAAATCTCGGGGAGTGGGGGGCGGACCCCTCGAGGAGGCTTGTCGCCTTCGGTCACTCAGGACTTCTCCCCCAAATGATAAATCCCAGATAGAACCCTGATTTAAGGTATACGGCTTGCCCGGATTGGAATATTACTCCGTACCTGTAGGCATGTTAAAATTTTATTTCTAAGTTTAAATAAATAAATAATGTATTTTTATGTATGTACATGTATGTATGTATGCATTTCATAGAAAGATTGTTATTGGATTAAACTCGGTTATTTTGCATACATATTGGTTACAGCTTTCGCGTTTTTTTTTTCTGTTTTGCAAATCTTCCTCCCTTTTCCCTCCCCCCAAACGCGTTTCTCTCTTTTAAACAAGTAATACAGCACATGAAATACACCGTTAACATCTCAGCGTCTTGAACAATGGGCAAAACGTTTGCATCTTGCCTCTTATATTAAACTATTTTCTGACATTAAAATAGTTGCTGATGTATAAATACACAAAGGATTCTCATAAATCGGTCAGTTTATGGTTTCCAATCTTTGCTTAAATAAATACAAGTCTAACAACATCCATTCAAAAAAGGATAACACAGTAAGCAAGGCATGAGTAGAGATAAAACTCCCAGGATTCCCCATCTAGCCACGCACTCAACTCCAGGCTCCGCACATGCGCATGGTTGAGCAGCCCAGTTGCCTTCCAGCTCATGGTCTTTCGTACAGTGGTAAAACAATGCTTTTACACAGCACATGCACGAACAACACTCTACAAGCCTTGTGTTGTCAGCTTTCACCGGTGGCTCTCTAATGGTATACCATTGCTGTTCATTAACCATTGGGACTTGGTTTGCGGTACTCGATGGCCTTTTTGTCTGATTTTGAAAGTAGATGGCATTTCCCAGGTTAATAATTGTCTCTGTGGCATCAGAAAACGACACTGACTGATAGCCTTCCTTCCTTGGGTCACTGCTTCCTAAATAGGCAAAGTATGAGAGTTGAGGCTGAGCTCTGATAGGTGCTGGTTCATTGTCCGCGATCAGATCTGTTATGTAGCCTCTTTCCTTGTCCAAAATACGTTGCCACTCCCGGGGGCTTTTTTGGTATTTTTTCTTTTCCGGGTTAGATTTGCATCTTCGGAGGGTTTTATTGTTTTTGAGGTCCTGTATAGCGGGATGTTGTCTCAAAGATCCTTCTTGGCATAGTGGTGTTCTTGTTTCAGACAAAGACTCGAGAATTTCACTGAGTGAGGATCTTCTTCTATACTGATGCATGTTCTGAAAATAAGGTAATATCTGGTTAAGAGAATAAGGCCCGTTTTAGGAGTTTGACTTATGTAAGCACGACTGTAGCGTTGGTTTCTGACGTCGATCGAATTTGATTTCGTCGGATTTAGTTTTGCTGAAAACAATCAAACGAAAAATTATCATCGTCTGGACGAATATGTTCAAAATGGCTGAAGCTGTGGGAAAGAAAAAAACGTCCGTCAATCTCGTCTAGAGAGTTCCATGTTTTCTAGAATGCCTAAATCAAAACCTGACATTTTTCTCTTAAAATCTGGCGTATTTCTTTGTATTTTTGGATCGCTAAATGTTGTTTTTTCGTGTGTTTGTCAAAGTAGTGGGAGTAATTTTCATTAAATTTTTTTCGTTATTGCCTTATCTTCATTTTTAAAGATTTGGCACTTTTAAAATGGTCGAAATTTATCAGTCGAGAAAGCAAATAAAGCGTTATTAGAATCTTCAGCTTGTTTTACGCTAACTTTTAGTGAAATAGCTGTAAGCATAAATTTTTCATTGAAGCTAAAAAATAGTAAATTATCCTTTTCTTGAAGAACAAATCTGGAGTCACCCAGAACCGTAATGCTTGAATATCACAAACAAATTTTCAACATGTGTGCTTAGCAAATAAATGATAACCTGTTGAACTATTGACTGTTAAACTATTGCGGTGTATTTAAACCTGTTTTCAGTCAGTGATAGCTTCACTGAGGTACTTTTTTCAGTGTTGTAAATGCCGACTCAATCAGAAGCATTCAACGGTGATTTCAAAACACCAAACACTGATGTTGGCAAATGTACCGTTTTAACATTTCTGAAAAATTGAACATTGAAAAAACGTAAACTACGAATATCTACAGTGTTGCTACTATCTAGACCTTTTGGATCATTCAGTGAGCCCTTTAAGGCCTTTCGCAGTGGATACGAATTTTTGGATATGACCGAAGCTCAATTGGGGCACCAGATCAATGATTCTGAGGACTGAAAACAGTACGACTTACCTCCAATGAAACGTTCCTTGCCCTTTTTGTACTAGATTCTTTACCAGAAAAATTTCCAAAACATTGGCTAGTCATGGAAAGGAACATAACTTTGTACTGTGACTGCTTGAAAAACATGTAACGGTCCGTAAATGTTTTTAGTTTATAACCAGATTCTAATTGATCCAGGTACGTCATAATGACGTCACCTCTGACGCATTTTCTTTGCACCGAAGTCCTTAATTTACATTTATCTTGGAAATCACTTCCAAAATACAGCCAGAATGTTGCTAATTTGATTTATATTTTAGTTACAGGCCACATCTTCCTGACAAAAACCGAAAAATATATAGTTCGCAGTCCAAAATATTTTATTTACATTATTATTGTTAGGTCTGTTTTTGAAGTTATGGTGATATCTGAATCTTGCCTCATACGTCATCAGTAAGTTTATTTCCAGCAGTTATCCCCCTATTATTAATAACAACCGTCTGGACAACTTTTTTAGATGCACGAAATTACAATGAAAAATTAGCTAAATCAAAGCAAAAAGTAATAGTCTGGTGGTTACATATTGGCGTTAATTCAACAATAAAGGCAGCAATTGAATTGATCTTAGAGCAAAAGATCAATGCTAGGTTTAAAGAGAAAACGTGATTTGACATAAATAACTTACTATTCTCCATTTATAACTGACATGATTTTCATAAGGGGAACTGGGATCGAAGTTTTTACCATTTACCGTTTTACCAGCCATTGGACTTTTTTGGCCCCGATTAAGGAAGCCAAATTAGGGCCAAAAATAGGACTGTATTTTACTCACCGACACGGCCCCCTTTTAGGGCTAAAACAGATCTTTCTCACTTACAGTGTTGCGATTGAATTATTCTTCTGCCTCCGACGCCTTCGACCCGGTCGTTTCATCAAGAGCCATAAGCAGAGTCGCAGGAAGATGGAAAGGCCTTGATTCTTTCGACTCCGATTCGAATTCGAAGTCGGATTGGTAATCAGATGCGTAGAGCGTTTTGATCTAGTGAAAAGGGCGTTCCGATTCCGCTTAAAA